TGGCCCTTTGTTCACCTGCAGTTGCCTCCTGGACAGCAAAGCTGAGGACTCCTTTTCAACCTTTGTGTTGCCGAGAGACGAGCGGGAGCCGGACAAGCTCAGGTTTGACCTGGATGCCTTCCGCTTCTATGGAGATGAGCGTTCCTTGGTAAGAGGAAGCTGCTGATTGGCTTCTCCCCATTGGGTGGGAGTCACTAAACACTAACTTGTGCTGAATGCGTCCCTCAGATTTTCATCACCTGTCACCTGAAAGTTGCTGCAGTGGATCAGGGAGATTCCAGGAACAAAGCTTGTACTTTCCAGAAGCTGCACAACGTGTAAGTGTACACACCCCATCCCACTGTCTCCCTGTCCCTCGGTGATGTTGCTGGGGAGAGTTGATTTCACTGTGTTGTTCATGGGCTGTTTCTCCTGTTTAGCTGGACCCCATTGGAGGAATCGAACAGTGACATTTGTGCCTGTTGCCATGTGGGGAACTGTGGTAGCACAAGGGAGATCCTGTTCCTCTCCAGAGGAAGGAGAGACCTTCTACCTGAAGATGGTAGGTCATTGACCCTCTCGACGTTTTGGCTACAACACCCCCTCCCTGTCCCTATCTGAAATGTTTCTTCTTGCAGAGAGTGAAGCTGGATTGAAGTTGGAGGGTGAGGCCTCTCTTGGCCCCCTGCTCATTCTGGATCCTGAGCTGACCAACCTGACAACTGAGCCCCTGACTGAGGTTGAGCAAACGATACAGGAGAGGTCTCCAGGCGGTGAGTTGTCTGACTGCTAGTTTCCTTCTTTGTCCCTCTTTCCCTCAGTAACCATTGGCTTCTCCTTGTTGTGTAGGTGTGCAGTCTGAGCTGGTTGTGATGGTGGCCCTGACAGTGACAGCTGTCTCCCTGATCTCTGCTTCATTGATGGCCTTGTTTCTGTACAGGAAACACAAGCAGACTCAACTATTGTTGGAATAGTCCAATAAAGCAGTGATTCCTTGTTTCTTTTTTCTGGCAGCTGGTTTGTCTCTGCATCCTCACATATAGGTTGATATTCCTGCGGTTACATTCTGAACACTGAAGAAACCTTCCTGAATATGTTTTTACTGAAGGTATTGTTTGGGTTTTGCTTCTTGCAGTGACTACAGGGGCTTGTAGACAACACAAAAAGAGAAGCTCATTTCTGATGAGATCACTTTTCACCATTTCCCTGCATAACATGAACACTAGTATAAACTGTCCTGAGTTTGCTCCAATTACGTCATGGGGGTTTGTGACCAAGGACACCTTGGTGTTCAGTGAGTGAGATGTTGATCAGACTGACTCTCCATGCTGTCTCCCTGCCTCTTTACCCAGCCTCCGGGCATGGGTGGTATGGTGGCTCAGTGGTTAGCACTGCTGCATCACAGCACCAGGAATCTGCGTTCAAGTCACCCTCCGGTGACTGTCTGTGTGGTGTTTGCACATTATCCCTATATCTGTGTTTACACTGAGTGCTCACGTTTTCTCCCACAGCACAAAGATGTTCAGATCAGGGTGAATTGGCCATGCGCAATTGCCCCAGTGTGCAGGGATGTGCAGGCCAGGTGGGTTAGCCATGGGCTATGTATGGTTACAGGGAGAGGTTCGGAGGATGGGTCTGGGTGGGCTGCTCTTCGCACGGGTTGGGGCAGCAGTGTGGACTCGATGGTCCAATTGGGCTGATTCCACACTGGCAATTCTATGGGACATGTGAAACTGGTGAATGAGACAGATAGTGGCAACTGCAGAATCTGAGATAACAAGGTGTCACGCTGGATGAACACAGCAGGCCAAGCAGCATCAGAGGAGCAGAAAGTCTGCTGTTGTGGTCCTCCTCCCTTCATCAGAATTGGGGAGGGGGGGAGGGTCCTGAAATAAATAGGGAGAGACGGGGAGGCAGATAGAAGATGGTTAGAGGAGAAGATAGGTGGAGAGGAAACAGAAGTCAAAGATGTGGAGATGGAGCCAGTAAAGGTGAGTGTAGGTGGGAAGTTTGGGAGGGGATAGGTCAGTCCAGGCAGGACAGATAGGTCAAGGAGGCGGGGTGAGGTTAGTCGGTTGGAGATGGGGGGTGCGGCTTGAGGTGGGAGGAAGAACAGGTTAGGGAGGCGGGGATGAGCTGGACTGGTTTTGGGATGTGGTAGGGGGAGGGTAAGATTTTGAAGCTTGTGAAATCCACATTGATACCATTGGGCTGCAGTGTGCCCAAGTGGAATATGAGTTGCTGTTCCTGCAACTGTTGGGTGGCATCATTGTGGCACTGCAGGATGGACATGTCGTCTGAGGAATGGGAGGGGAAGTTGAAATGGTTTGCGACCGGGAGGTGCGGTTGTTTATTGCGAACCGAGCGGAGGTGTTCTGCAAAGCAGTCCCCGAGCCTCGGCTTGGTTTCCCCAATGTAGAGGAGGCCACAGCGGATGCAGTATACCACATTGGCAGATGTGCAGGTGAACATCTGATTGATGTGCAAACTCTTCTTGGGGCCTGGGATGGGGGTGAGGGAGGAGGTATGGGGGCAGGTGTAGCACTTCCTGCAGTTGCAGGGACAAGTGCCGGGTGTGGTGGGGCTGGAGGGGAGTGTGGAGCAGACAAGGGAATCACGGAGAGAGTGGTCCCTCTGGAAAGCAGATAAGGGTGGGGAGGGAAAGATGTCTTTGGTGGTGGGGTCGGATTGCAGATGGCAGAAGTGTCGGAGGATGATGCGTTGGATCCGGAGGTTGGCTGGGGTGGTACGTGAGGACGAGGGGGATTTTTTTTGGTTGTTGTTGCGGGGACGGGGTGTGAGGGATGAGTTGCGGGAAATGTGGGAGACACGGTTGAGGGTGTTCTCGACCACTGAGGGGGGGAAATTGCGGTCCTTGAAAAACAAGGACATCTGAGATGTACGGGAATGGAATGCCTCATCCTGGGAGCAGATGCGGCAGAGGTGAAGGAATTGGGAATAGGGGATGGCTTTTTTTTTTCAGGAAGGTGGGTGGGAGGAGGTGTATTCTCGGTGGCTGCGGGAGTCAGTGGGCTTGAAATGGATATCGGTTTCTAGGTGGTTGCCTGCGATGGAGACAGAAGTCCAGGAAGGAGAAGAGGTATTAGAGATGGTCCAGGTGAACTTCAGGTTGGGGTGAAAGGTGTTGGTGAAGTGGATGAACTGTTCGAGCTCCTCATGGGAGCACAAGGTGGCACCGATACACTCATTGATGTAACAGAGGAAGAGGTTGGATTTGGGGCCTGTGTCGGTACGCAAGAGGGAGGCATAGCTTGGGCCCATGCGGTACCCAAGGCCACCCCATTTGTCTGTAGGAAGTGGGAGGAATTGAGAGAGCAAGTTATTGAGGGTGAGGACGAGTTTGGCTAAGCGGATGAGGGTGTCAGTGGAGGGGGACTGTTTTGGGCCTGCGGGACAGGAAGAAGCGGAGGGCCTTTAGGCCATCTGTATGGGGAATGCAGTTGTATAGGGACTGGACATCCATGGTAAAGATGAGGTGTTGGGGACCGGGGAATTGGATGTTCTGTAGGAGGTGGAGGGCGTGGGTGGGAGGTCACTTGAGGTGGTGAGGTTGTGGATGGTTTGGGAGATGATGGTTTGGTGCTTGGGGGTGGGCTCATGATCAAGGGGACGGTAGGAGGAGGTGTCAGAGTTGGCGTCTGGCCTTGGCGATGTAGAGGTCAGTGCGCCATACTACAACTGCGCCTCCCTTGTCCGCGGGTTTTATGGTGAGGTTGGGATGGGAGCGGAGGGCTGCACGTTCTGTCGGGGAGTGGGTGAGAGGGGTGGAGAGGTTGAGGCGATTGATGTCTCGAAGGCAGTTGGAGATGAAGAGGTAGAGGGAGGGTAGGAGGCCGTGGGGTGGTGTCCAGGAGGAGGGGGTGTGTTTGAGGCGGGAGAAGGGGTTAGTAGAGGAGGGTTAGGCTCACGGTTGAAGAAGTAAACGTGGAGGCGGAGGCGGCAGAAAAACTGCTCCATGTCCAAGTGTGAGTGGTATTCGTTGATGTGTGGGTGGAGGGGGACAAAGGTGAGCCCTTTACTGAAGACTGACCATTCGTCCTCAGTAAGGGGGAGGTCGGGGGGAATGGGGAGGACTCGGCAGGGCTGGGTGCTATTCTCCCCTCTGGAGCTGCTAGCTGTGGGGGTGGTGGGCGGTGTGTCAGCGTGGGTGGAGTTGCATCCGCGTCGGTGATGGGCGGAGCGGGGTAGGTGGTGGCAGCAGCGGTGACGGTAGGCGCGTCTTCAGTGTCTGTGGTGTTGGTCTCGGAAATGGAGGCGGTGGCATCAGCAGCGATGGCGTTCGCTGTCCCGCATGTGGGGTACCTGGTGGTGGCGGATGTGACATCATCTGTGGGTTCTCCGACAGTAGCCTCATGGCCAATGGCGGCGGGAACATTGTGGGGAAGGTCCTGGGTACGGCTGGGGATTTGGGGGTGGGGAGGAAGCCTGTTTTGGTTGGTAGGCGCCAGTAAGTTTCCTGTACTTAGGGTTTTTAGTGTCCAATAAAGCTGAGTAGAATTGTGAGTTCAGGTTGTGCGTCCTATGAAGAACAAAAAACAGGAGGTGTCCTTTGCAGGTCTGGGAGAGGGAGGCTCTGAGCTGGGGTAGGCTTGATTGTAGTGCCCGGAGATGCCAGCGCATTGCTGACAGTGTGATTCAGGAGTTGCAGGGAGCAACGCTTCTGAAAGATATCAATGCTATGAATGTACACTGCTCTGATTAATCTTGTAGACTTCAGAAAGAATCTCCAGTACAAATGTCCACCCTCACTTCTAAATATTAGTTTGTTTTTTAACAGGCTTTCTCCTGGGAGTTTGGGCTGATGTCCGAGACAGATAGTCCTGACTCAAGCATCTACTGTACAAATCCCATCTCAACATGAACACGGGCTGGGGGCTCTGTTTTGGAATGTGTGGGCCTTAAGACTCATCCAG